CTTCCGAGGGGGGTGCCCTCACAGAAGGAAGAGAAAAATGTCTTTACATGAAAGCAACCAGGAAGAAGAAATGGGTGCAACAGCATCTTTAACAGAAATGCTGGGCGACCTGAGAGTGGAAGACCTGCTGTTCGATCCAGGTGGACTTGGGGTGTGGGACAGAAAGAGGAACCTGAGGAATTACTAACTGGAGTCACAAGGAGAAGACCCAAAAAAACCCAGCTGCTGACTGGCGTGGCTCTAAGGAGGAAGATTACAAAATGTCCCAAGCCATGAAACTCCTCGAAGAGGTATGGAGCGAACACCGGGCTCGAGAGAGTGCTGTGGAAAGGGACCCAGCAGAGGAACTAGAGAAAAGGTACCCGTTGCTTAGCTTAAGGGAGACTGGAGGGGCCGAAGGGGGTTGTGCGCAAGAAAACCCAGCACCGACCTCTCCCCCTGTGGCTAGAGACATTCCGAGAGCAGGGGGGGCAGGCGACCCCGGATGGCTAAGGTCCCACCCTTAAGCGTAAAGTATGATGGAGAACCTAGCGGTCTGGGGCTGTTTATTATTCAGGTCTGGAATTATATGCAAATATATGGGCCTGATTTGGACTCTGATGAATCTAAAGTGAGAATAGTGTTAATGGCCCAGAGAAGAAAGTAGCAGACTGGATGGTCGGAGTACATAATAGTAACCCCCCTCTCCTGAGGAATTGGCTCTGAACTTCCAGTCCTTGATATTTATATCACACCTTTCATCCTGCTCCAAAGAGCTCAGGATTCTTTTATCACATTTGTGAACTGCCCATCTCCTTCATAGGGATGTTGTAATGTCAACCTCAGTCAACCTCTGAGATAGAATGAGGAAAGACTCTTGACTGAGTCACCTAGTAATTTCAGAATAGAATTCCAAGGATCAAGTTACAACTAGTGAATTAGGAAAGAAATAAAGAACCACCACATTTACAATCAGAGCTACTTTTAAATAGTCAGGGTACATATGCAAGGGCTTGGAGATAAAATAAAAATGTTGAGAAAAGAGATAATGGAATGTGCTGGGGGACAAAAAAGAAACGGGACAGATGTATTTGCTGCATTTGCATGAGGATGTCACTCCACCTATGCCATCATTGCAATCTCCTGTGACCACAGCTGGATATTGCAATGGCATTTGATACATTTCCTAGCTTGCTCATCACTGCTATCTGTTAACTGTTTTAAAATGCTTTTATGACCTTTGGAATATTGATATATTAATCAGCTATTCTTGTGTGCTTTAACTATTTGCTGCTGTGGTCTAACAGCAAATACAATAGCATGACTTGGGTCAAGTGCAGGGGTGTCAAACTTGTGGCCTCACATGATGTATTGGGAATCCCCCCCCCCCGCTAACCAGTCATGGCCGTGGCCAGCACATCCGGCCCGCGAGTTTGACAGCCCTGATCTAGTAAAATGGCAAGCCAATCTGGTATCCAAAGAGAGAGAGAGGCAAGATTATAAAATCATGTCTGTTGGGAATTAATTTAATGTTAATGCAAAGAAAAGATTTGCTCTATTTTCCTCCAGCCACTCCCCCAAATGAAGCAGATTAGAATTAAAGAGTTGGCAATGGTATTCTGACTTGATGGAATGAACAAGGACAAAAAAAGTCACAATGTTTTTTACTTGTGGCAAAATGTTTCTCATGTTTGCTGGCTTGGGGTGGCAAGTGATAACTTGTAGCTGATGAGCTATGTGCTGTTATACTTTCTCTGCTAAGTCTGTTAAGTAGGCTCAGATGGCCTACTTATAATAGTAGGCCATAATAACTATTTGTTCTAAGAGTATTTGTCCCAGAACAAATTAAAACAAAACAGTACATTGTCTTGCAATTATATATTACTTTTTATAAGGTGGTTTCATGAAAACACGATTATCAAAGACTTGAGACAAAATCCAAAGAGAGCAAGTATAGATGGCCAATAGAAGAAAGAAAGACAAATAAAAGAGACAGACATTAGCTTAACAATTAAAAAGAGAAACCTAAAGTAATAGACAAGAACGCAGAAAAATTTGAGAGTACAGATGTCATGACATTTATTAAGAGGCATGCTACAACTAGAGTTTTAGAAAAAGAGTTAAGTAGATACTCAAGTAATAATCAGCAAGTACACAAAACTTAAAAGAAATGAAATAAAACGGCAGTGTACAGAAATTCAAATTAACCATGCACTACACAGTTAGAAAATAGGTTTCTTTAATATTTCAACTTCTTTGCATTTATAACATCAAGTCATCTCAACAACACGGGATCCTTTCTCCCCTCCAATGCCACAAGCTGCTTAACAAACAAAGCTGGTACTGTTGCTTTATCAAAATATACAAGACAATTGATGTTCTTTTTATTAATAATATAAAAACCATTTTATACTTGTTCCCAAAAACCTTTTTTTGCCAGGTAAAAAAATGTTGTTACAAATATTTACAGCATTTTCTTGTGTTAGATGAATATTTTTTACAAACTTAAAAAGGGATTTGTGAACACATGAAAAATTAGGGAATGTCTGGCTCCCATAACTGTGTGCCTTTATTTGTCTGAATACAGTATTAAATATCCACTCACCCCCCCTTCCCTTAGACCATTTTATTTGGTTCACATTTTTAGAAAATCTTATCTCTTGTTTAATTAATTAGTCTATTCACCACCCACAATCAGATAAAAGGCCACTTTACATGGAGTCTTTCAAGAAAAATACCTCAAGGACAGAACTGGCAAGATGTTTCAATAAAACTGGAGCAAGCAATCTTTGGTCATTGCAAATGAGGTGACAATCTAATAATGCAACATTTTGTTTGGTCAACAACCGTATCTTGAGAAAGTGGGAGGCTTGTTTGTTCAGAAACTGGAGAACAAATTGGGGAAGGAAAAAAAACCCCACAATTAAAGAGATGAATTAAAAATATAACTGATTGGGTGTTTTCCTCCTATCCTCACTAATGATGCACATTAATCCAAGAATGGGAATTTCTGCAAGAGCTCACTTATAAAAGAGGAAGTATATATCCTCCTCACTCATTTATTATTTTCCAGGTTACTGTGAGAACCGTAAAGCCAGATGTCTGGAACTCCTGTATGGTACAGCATGATTCATGTTACAATGGTAGACAGCAAAAGAGCTATAAACTGACTGAAACAGTAAGCAATCAACTGCACATAGACATTATATGTTCATGGGTCATTTGGTATTTTAGTCTATATAAATACACATTTCCTTGAACACAAGAGTATCGATTTAAAAGACTGAAAGATTAGGGGGGAAAAAACAGAAATCTACTGAAGGCACATAAACTTTGGTCCCATTGTTTTCTTCTTTGTAAAACCCTGAAATTAAGATTTATGAATCTTTCATTTTTTAAAAAATAATTCCTAATTGTTAAAATTTGCTTTAAAAATTAAAAACAGTTTCATATACTACATACAGATTTTTGCAAAGACAATTAGGAGTTTGTTTGCTTCAAAAACATATGTGTGCAAACTTCAACAGTTTTCAGCACAATTCAAATCTGGCAGTTGTAATTAAAGTTACCAGTCCACAAAAGTGTCAAGGCAAACAAAATGGCTTTAATACAGTTATCTACTCAGGTCTGCTTTGAACATAGCAATATATGTGTGACAGGATGAAGATTGGAACGGCACAGCTTAGATTTGCTATTCCCAGAAGTACCACCAGGGTCTTCCTCGGACATACTTAAATAGGCAGCAATGGATTTGGCTCACAAAATACCCCCCACATGCTAAACTTTAGAGTAAGTATCCATTGCAGGTGGAACCGTTCAGTCTGGAAGAAGAGATGCTACACAGACAACTCAAGGCTACTTTTGAAAATATAGGCACACAGAGCCTACAGAGTATCCTTCAAGCAGAGTTAAGAGTACAAAAGGTGAGAAACAGGAAAGGCAACCAAGTTAGGACAAAGCTTCAAATTAATGTTGCTTTGACATTCAGAAACCTGCAAATATATTGGATAGAAACAAAAATTGTGGCTCAATATTTAAATTAAACCATATTCAAATTTGGGCATGTATATATACCAATTATTATTATTAAAGACAGAATGTATGGTATGAAGAGACTGTAAGAGATTGCAGCTCTGTATGTATGCTGGATACATACTGCAGTTAACCTTCCCGAGCCAATTTTGAAAGAAAAAACAGTCTATTTTTTTCCTAGTTTATAGTCAAATACAGCCAGTTTGCATTTCACTGTTAAACTATTATGGCTTTTCCTCTAGGAATAAAAATCCTAAGGACTGTGGGTGATTATTTGATTGTAAACTTGAGCCAATACTATTTCAAATTAGCCTCTCCACAGACCTGAGGTTTGAACCTGGTTGTTTCTGAAGGAATTTTAGCTCTCTTACATTGCTATCAGATGAGGAATGTGGCACAATTCATAATTTAGAACGCATTTCACCACAAATGTTTATCTATGGAACTGCAAATTCTTCTTAATAAAAGGTGCTAATCGGTTTACTAAAAAAGCACCTTTGCTACTGCTGTTATGTATGAATATGATTAAAAACCAATTACCTTCAATTCTTCAACCCAAATACTAGAGATCACAAAAATGCCTGACAAGGAAGATTGTTACTTCAACTGCACTTCCAAAGGAATTGCAAGGGCCACGGAGCTTTACGGCTTGACAGAAAATAAAGGATAAGGCAACAAAAAGTGGTGAGAATGATCAAATAATTTCCTATACTAGGGTGCTTGATAAGGCAATATCTGCAAAAAATTATGTTACCCAATAACCACATCCTTAATTAAACCACTTGGTATTCTATGATAACATTATTTGTTGCTAATGTTCTGCAGCAAAGAAATAAAAGGACAAGAAAATGGTACTATCTGTTTTCATCTTAATCCAAATTCAAGAGGTTGCCTTCTAAAACATTCCACAGAAGGAGAAAATTAAGCTAACTATTGCTATAAATGGAATTCCTGTTTTAAACGCAAAGTTTGTACTGCCATTTTTTATATTTGCAATTCATGGAAAAAACAAGCTTGCCAAGTAAAATCACTCAAAATGTTAAACACACATACACTACAACCATGATTTATACAGAATATAATGTAATTATGATGAGACCTCACTAATATATGAATATATCCAAAATAAAATCCAAAACATTTGCCAGCATGTAACTATAATCATAGGTCTAAAAACTCAAGACTGAAAGTAGGAACTTTTATAGGAACTATGATATTTTTTAAAATCTTAAATTGACCATTTATTTTTCTTAACTCTACAAAATTGTTTAAGATTAGTAAAATCAATAAATTAAATGCTTGCAATGTTTATCAGCATAAAACATAAGGTATTTCACATCATACACATGCGCACACACACTCATACACAACACTCTTGATATTATACATGTTAATGCTCAGTCTCATTATTCCTGCTTCAGTTACATTCATCAAGTCCAACTACATCCCCCCTCTGTAGCAGCATTAAACACATGGTGACCAAGCCTAAAAGTAATTTAGCAAGTTACAATACAAGGCAAATTTATTGGTTCTCTAATCCAAGAAGCTATTTAATGGCTTAAGGGGCTAATCCTGAATATACTTATTTTGAGCCATGGTCCACTAAAATTGATAGAATGAAAGGAAACACTAAGGCTCATGTGCCATAATAGAATCAGGCACTCGTTTTAATCAGTTTGCTAAACTAAGAAAATATGTTGCTACTCTAGAGTTGGCTTGTTTTAATAGACTTATTATTTTCAAACAGCTGCAAGTCATAGCTAAAATGGGATCAGATCTTACTGGACACTAATGTAGCTTTACATGAAGAAACAAATATGTTGACAAAACAAAACAAATACATGCTAATCAAGTGTCCAAATTGTGATTATCAACTATCTTCCACGCACAACTACATAAATTTAAGGCAGCCAGTGTCTCACTGCGTATCCTTTCATGCTACAGCAAGGTTAGTAAGAAACTTGCATTTCAAAGGTAACTTATAATTTTGTCATTTTAAAGGAGTTTAGAGATTGATCTAAAGCTGTGAAATTCTTTTTGCCAAGCAAAAGTTGGTATTCACAGAACAACCTGATTTACTAAACATTCCAAAGACAATGAGCACACGTCATATTATCATGTTCCATTTTTTTCTTCTAAATCTTTATCTCCATTTTCAAATCAATGGAAAGGATTTACCATCCTTACTGACAAGAGGAATATTTTATAAAACAATGCATTTTTTTTCAGTAGACGTAACATCGTGAGACTCCTCTAAAAACATTGTATTACAATCATAGAAATAACTTGAGTATACCTATATTTCACAAAAAAATAGTTAAGATTGCATCTAAAAGGAGTGAACATTCACTCCTGAAGTTTTGACATTTGTGAATGCAAACCCATCTGCACCGAGCACAACAAGCCCATTACTGTTGGGTGAAAAGAATCCTGAGGCAAAATATTCTCAGAGTCAATAACTCAACTGTTACATAACAACCAGACACTGAGAACATTCTCTAAAGCCCAACAAGGGCATCACTCAACTGCAACCCCTAAAATATTGTAAAGAGGCCTAGATGCAGGAGCACTGAGTTATCTTCATTCCCAACCTACCCATCCCTATACCAAAGCACCAAAATCTGATTTGACTATTACTTATTAAAAACATCTTTAAAATCACCAAATGTTTAAAAACTAAGACAAAGGGGGAAAATTTCACAAAGCCACAGTACAGTTAAAGATACTTCAGATAAAACTCTAAACTATTATATCATTATAAGCACATAATAAGGCACATAAGAAATTAAGTAAATTCACAATAATTTTGATTTAAGTATTAGAGATTATAGTGGTACAAAAAACCCTTGAGGTTTAATTTTATATTTAAACAAGACCTTACCAAAAAATAACCTTTCTAAAAATTTGTCAAACCATATGACAGACCTGATTTTTTTCCTTAGGAGTGTAAACAATTATTTTTCTGAAAGAAATGTACAAAACTTGAAATCAGGACTATTTCTTCTTTCATTTTCTCCAATATCTTATTACACTTCATCCATAGTAACAACAGTTATCTCTCACACTCTGATGTAATGCCTAGTTAGAACTGTCAACATGGTCACCTTAGGACAATTTGCCTGTGTGGGTTACAGAATTAATTGGATATCATTATATTACTCCAAGGAGAAATAAGGCACGGCCTTTCCTCCAATATTTTCAATAGAGGATGATTAAAACATTAATTGGTAAAAAACACCTATTCCCAACAAAAATATATTGAATGTAACTGATGTATAAAGTAATTTCCCAAAATTATTTTTAAAACATTCCATCGATCACATTGTTTGAACACAAGAACACAAATATTGTTTGGGAATAAAAGCTTGATTATGTTCCTGAAATCACCAAAAAGGAAAAGAAAAGATGGGTTCTACTAAAGAAGGTAGATTATTAACAGAATTTTTTTGTGGAGGACTATTTGCCATTACAGCAAAAGATAAACCCATTATTTGTTACAATGTCTAGAATTACACATGAATCACACAAGTTTCATTGTTCAAGGATGCAGCATTGGTTTGGCCTGTTACAGTCTCTGCCTGAAATTTTTACTGGAACTATGGGCACACACGCTGAACTCCAAAAGGTCCTCAATGCATCAGGTTCAGATTGTAGATTTAGAAAAGGAAACTCTGAGGTGATGATTTTCTCCAAGATCGTGATTATGAAGCTCAGTAAGGGCTTGGATTGCTTCTTCCATAGTGCCCAATTGGATAAGAGCCATTTTGCGGTCTTTTCTAGAAGCAAAAAGGTTAACAGTTAAGTTCATATATTTATAAAGCACCATCCTCACTACCACAACTCTCACATTCTGCTTGTATGGTACTTATTTTGGAAAATCTTCAGAGACTCTCATTCTGCTTACATTGCAAGAGAAAAACACTGCTAAAAATCTTGGTTGTTATTTAGACTCCGATTTTTTCTTCTTCTATGTCAGTGCGCTAAAACTTGCTGTTAATTTTTTAAAAGCAAACACTTTTCAGCTACAGCTTTCCAGTCCTATGCTTTTAATTTCAGAAAAGGAAATTCAAAGATATAGTCAAGCTTTTAATTTTATGTAACTATGTCGTCCGTCCCCCCTAAAAAAAGATCAATCAATATTAATTCAAGATCAATTATCCTTCATATCCTTCATTCTTTGCACAAAGTGCAGAAACTTACGGAAAGAATTTGAAGGCTTTCACAATACACCCAGTACCAGCAAAAAGATTCTTCAGGTCATCAACTGTGATAGAAGGCCTGTAAACATGGAATTAAGTATCCAACATTAGCAAATATTCATGGAATCTAAAAAGAGAAATATTCTTCCCATTTGTCTCAGAGGTGCTTTTTCAAGAGGCAACTGGACTTTCTGAAGAAGCTTCTTGGATGAGAGTGACTATTTCCCCAGAAGCTACCCTGAACGGCAGAGAAGTGAATCCTGTGAAACTCATGCCAATTTTGCTGCTGCAGATTGGTGGATATTTTCCCTACTGGTTTGTGAGATACTGAAAGGAGAATCATGTTGCCTATAAGAATTGGCCTGCTCATACACCCTTCAGCAATAAATCAGAAAAGTTTTTTTCTGAACAATAACTCAATTATTTAATAACTCAATTATTTTCTGAAAAGCAGTAACTCAGAAAACACCCTCCCTAGTGATAGGAATTGTCTAGGGCAGTGTCTAGCACACAAACCTTGGCACCTTCAACATGTATAGACTTCAACTCTCAGAAGTCTCGTAAGTGCTATGGAGTTAGAAGTCCATACATCTGGAAAATGTCATGTTTGGGAAAAGCTGGTCTGTTGGGACAGCATATATCAGCATTGCTTTGAGCCAAGTCAAGGATGAATAGATAGCATTTTAATTCAGAGGTCCATTACAGAATCAGGTATACCGAGTGATGCCAATCCACGACTGTTTATGACGCGATAGAGGGTTAGAATTAAAGTTGCCTAGATTATTTTTTTGTTACTGCATCAAATGAATACATTTTGCTCTGAAAATAAAACAATAGTCTTTAGAGTATGAAGGCCAAGAATGGAAACAACTTAATTCCTGCAGAAGTCAAATTATCTTGAGCTAAGGCACTAAGTAATGTATCAGAAGGATGCCTAATGTTCCCCATTCCATGCCAAATGCACTTCTTCGGCTGTAACTGGGCTGTGGCTCTTGGTAGGTCAGCATGAAAATGCAATATAGACTAAAACTAATTTTCTGCTGTAGGTTCTTCATTCAGTTAATCCTTATAGGTACATTTGCCTCCTTCTGGATTTGCCTCACTGTGGCTTTATTTATTTATTTATTAACCACATTTATATGCCGCCCAATCCCGAAGGACTCCGGGCGGCTTACAAAAATAAAGAGGAAAAAAAANTTTTTTCCTGATTTTGCTACTACCACTGCAACTTTGTTGGGTGTTTTAGACACTGTATGTATGTGTTTGCATTGTTATAGTGAAGTGTTTCTTTAATCCCTTATTGTATGAGCTGGGTGGGTTGTTATTCACCCTGCCTTTTTCCTTGGTGGTCATGTGTAGGTTTTGTGCTTGTCACATTGATCATGCTGAGTGTGTTTCTTTTGATGGCTCCTGTGATGAGATTTCTGAACATCCGCCTCTGGATTATTTTGCTTCAACTTTTCTCCTGATGAAGGCTATGCCTCAATGTACTTGGAGCATGCCTCTGTCAGAGTCCTTTTTGCCTTTTTCTCATTATCTATCATCTCTCTGTTGACTCCTTTACTTATTCGGAGGAAACTTAACCTTGCTGCTAGGATTGCATTTTCCATTCCTTCTTATCTCTGAATTGCTATTTTTCATCCTGGGTGCTTTTCCTTTGGCACTATGAATTTTCTTTACCTAACTCTGTTTTTCCCTTTCTGTCTTTACTTGCTCTCCAATTATTATTAGTGTCTTTTGGCTTGCTTTTATAAGTGTCTATATCACAACTTAATTACTTCCTGCCACGTCGCCCCTTTTTCAGGTAGATAAGGGTCAGCTCTCTTGCTGAGGTGGCACATCTTTTTCCTTAATTTTTCTTTGAGAAGGAATTGATCTTTTCCATACACACGGACTGCCTGTGTTGGCAGGATTCAATTGCCTTCCATTTCCCTGAGATGGCTGGTTCCCTGGGCTGTCTTCGTGGAGAAAAACAGAGATGAGAAAAAAAAGAAGAAAAAGAAGACGAAAAAGAAGAAATGAAACCTAATGCAGAGTACCTGTCCTTAGATGGGCAAGCATATACTAATATAAATACACTGAGATTCAGTGTATCCAGTGAAATCCAGAACCATCACTGTAACCACAAGTGTCTGAGCCTGACCACTTTTCCATAGATAATGAAGACCTTTTTCCGTTTGCCTGTGGTCCAGAATTAAATCTATTATCCATATAGTTAATGGGTGTTTCCCTTCCTCTGTTCGTTTTTTGTTGGATGTTCCTGCTTTGTGATGGGGGGCTCCTGGTCTAAAATGGCTATGCCTATGATTTGGCAAAGACATCCTAGATGCCACCATGCAAACTTTTGTCAAACGTTTGGAACTTTCAGTGTAAAATTTGTACACACAGAAGATTTAACTGCTTGCTAGTTTATTTGCAAGCCACGAGCTCACAATCTTTGTCAGGAAACTTATTCCATTGTAAACTGTACGAATAGACTCGGCTGTGAGTATGACTCATTTAAAGAGGAAGTCTTGTATGTGTATGTTGGGGGGGGGGAGTATTTGGACAAAGTTTTTGAAGGGGAAAAAAACCGCTGCAAATTTAAGCCAAGTAAAATACAACAGAAGGAATCTGGGCTTGAGGAAAAATAAAATAAAAAGGGAAATGCATAAAGAAATGATGCAGTCTTTTTACCTATTGGCATTATAGGATTCATTATGCAAGTTGTATTTTTTTTAGGCTGTTCAATGATGAGGGAGAAACAATTTTGCAATGAAATCATTAATCTGACTCTTTCCTGATTTCTTTTCCTTCCCCAATTGTGCCTAAACCAAAAAATATCAGTGTCGCCTGTTCCAGATACTATTATGCTTCTGTTGCATGAGAAAGTTGTCCATTTTAATCAGTGGATAATAGAATATGGTACGCATACAATGCAATTGATGTGTGGAAAAAATGAAGAGCAAATGTTTGCAGATATAGGACCTGGATGGAAATCCAAGGATCTCCTATCACAAATGCTGAATGTTTCAGAGGCCTTTTGGATGCGCTGCAGCTGTCCTCCCAAGTTGCTGTTGTTAAGTGCCTCTGTTCCTGCCTCTGAACATCATGTATGATGCAACTCTGACTGTACTGTTGATTCCACAGGGGTGTGATGTCACCTGGATGGCCACCCTATTTGCCCTATCTTGTTCGTCTCCAACATGGGCCTGCCCATGTTGGCAAGGAGGGAGTGTCTTCTGCTATCAAAAGAAAAATGGTTTGCTGCTGGAGTTCATGTTCTGGCTAAACATCTTTGCTCTCTACCTGTATTGTCTGCCAGCAATATAATATTGGCCTTCTTAAGGACATTTTTGCCCCAATTGGGTATCCCTATCTATTTGGGAAGTGATAGGGGTGCTCACTTTGCAAACCAGATAATTAAAAAAATATGCACAGAATCGTCAGGTGTACCCTGTTAGAATGAGTCAACCCTCAGGCCTGCTTCTCTTCCATCTGTTGTGCACCTGGCTGACATACAAGCTTTGGACAGCATCATGTTAGACTATTGTCGTGCCTCAGTTACAACCTTAAAGACTTGTCATTCACAGGTTGCCGCTGCGCTTTCCCCCCCACCCCCAAAAAAGAGGGAGAAAGACTTTTCATCCTTGCTACTCCTTGGCACCTTAGGTACTGGTGAAGGTATTTCAATGAAAGAATTGCCTGGTTCCTCATTGGAAGGGTCCATTCCAGTTCATCTTGACCACCAATACTGCTGTGAAGTATCAACATCTGGCCTCTTGGGTGTATGCCTTGCACTGAAAGAAGGTACCAGCCCCAGACAAGGAAGCCCCTCAGCTCAGGTCACCTGACTGCCAAAAGGCAAAGACTGAAGCTTTGCCCAACAGGGAGGCAAGTCCTAGCAATCTCTGCCACTGCTCTCCATACAACCTTCGCCCAAAACCATGCCAGCATTGAGTAATTTTTCTGCCTACCCAGGCCTGCCGGAATAGCCAGGTTTTAACAGCTTTTCTGAAGGCCATGAGAGTGGGCAAGGTCCGGATCTCTGGGGGTAGCTCATTCCAAAGGGTTGGAGCAGCCACAGAGAAGGCCCTCCTCCGGGGAGCCACCAGCCGACATTGTCTGGCTGACGGCATCTGAAGGAGGCCCACCCTGTGGGATCTCACCAGCCGCTGGGAGGTATGTGGCAGTAGGCGGTCTCGCAGGTACACTGGCCCTAAGCCATGTAGGGCTTTAAAGGTAATAACCAGCACCTTGAATTGCATCCGGAGACCAATAGGAAGCCAGTGCAGCTCGCGGAGGATAGGTGTAACGGGGGTGTACCTTAGTACACCCAATATTGCTCGCGCAGCTGCATTCTGGACTAGTTGCAGTCTCCGAACACTTTTCAAGGGCAGCCCCATGTAGAGCGTGTTGCAGTAGTCCAGCCTTGAGGTGACAAGGGCGTGAGTAACCGTTTGAAGTGCCTCCCGATCCAAATGGGGCCGCAATTGATGCACCAGGCAAACCTGGGCAAAGGCCCCCCTGGTCACAGCCGACAGATGGTGTTCCAATGTCAGCTGTGGATCCAGGAGGACCCCCAAATTGCAGGCCCTCTCTGAGGGGGTGTAAGTTCTCACCCCCCAGGATTAAGGATGAACTATCTGGGCTGTCCTTCGGGGGCAGCATCCACAGCCACTCAGTCTTGTCGGGATTGAGTGCAAGTTTGTTCACCCCCATCCAGATCCTGACAGCTTCCAGGCATCGGCACATCACGTCCGCCGCTACACTGAGCTGGCACGGGGCAGAGAGATACAATTGTGTATCATCTGCATATTGATGGTATTTAACCCCGTGCTGTCGAATGATCTCACCCAGCGGCTTCATGTAGATGTTAAATAGGAGGGGGGACAAGACCGAACCCTGTGGCACACCACATTTAAGGGGCCTAGGGGTCGACCTTTGCCCCCCAACCAACACCGACTGCGACCTGTCGGAGAGGTAAGAGGAGAACCACCATAAAACGGTGCCTCTCACTCCCACGTCTTCCAGCCGTCGCAGAAGGATTCCATGGTCGATGGTATCGAAGGCCGCTGAGAGGTCAAGGAGCACCAGGATAGAGGAATGTCCTCTATCCCTGGCCCGCCAGAGATCATCGGTCAGGGCGACCAAAGCGGTTTCTGTGCTGTACCCAGGCCTGAAACCAGACTGAAAGGAATCTATGCCTGCAGTCTGGACCAGTGTTACATTGCTCCTCTTCAGTTCCATGCTGTATTTAGGGTTGCATGTCCCATAATTCAAATGGTTCATCCTATCTATCCCCTTTTCTGTATTTGCCTTGCTGAAACGCCTTTTAATCAAAGTAGATGTCCTCCTCCATCTTAAATGAAGGATGTTTTGTTTTATTAATTAATTAAAACTTACAATTTAAACAGCTGATGTGCTAGGTACTATATGATCAATTGTTGGTTGTCCTCAAGGACAAACAGGAGGAACTGTGAGGGGAGAAAAATATCCATTGGAAAGTTGCAGGTAATAGGCGTAGGAGTGAGCTTGCAGGCCTCACTGAACCAAAGTTTGAAACTAACATAATTGTAAAATGTACCAGACATACAGTATTTCTAATGTGCTGACTTGTGTCCGACTTTTGTGCTGCTTTTTCTGCAAAGTTTGTACTTGTATGGATGTATTTAGAGCAGGAAGAATGAGATGGTGGGAAATGAGGAACTAAAGGTAACAAGTGTCTGAGAGCTTCAAATGTACATGGGTGTATGTGGAGACTATCTGTCAGTAAGACAGAACAAGGAATTGAGTTGTGAAATGGGTGCAGAAAAGTATAAAAAGAATGTCTTGAGAAGAGTTCAGGGGCCACTGAAAAGTGGGGAATCCTTGCTGGACTCAGCTATGTCAGTGGACCTTATTGCAATAGGTTGTTAATGCAAGTAATGCTATGTTGGCTATTCATGTTCCAAATTGCTCATGAAACAATAAACCTCTCATCTTAAAGTAAGATTTATTGCTTGTGGTTGCTTGTGCTTTCCCTTTGGTTTTTTTATCTGGATACTTTTACGACAGTAAGATAGTTGTTAAGTGAATCATTGCAGCTGTTAAATGAATCATATGGCCGTTAAGTCAATCCAGCTTACCCCATTGACTTTGCTGATCAGGGAAGGTCGCAAATGGTGATCACATGACCCTGGGGCAGTGCAACCATTGTAAAGACAAGCCAAGTGCCTGAATTTGATCACATGACCGTGGGGATGCTGCAATGGTTGTAAGTGTGGGTACTGGTTGTAAGCTGCTGCCATTGTAACTTTGAATGGTCACTAAATGAATAGTTGTATGTTGAGGACTACCTATATTCTTATTGTACAAGGAGATGTTTAACAGAACTAAGTTTTATTTGATATATGCTTCTGGTTTCAATAGATACAGATCTTCTGTAACACAGGTGGGAAAACATGGCACTTTTATGACTTGTGGACTTCAATTCCCAGAATTCCTGAGCCAGCCATGTTATAGAACAGCTACCCGTTACCAGCCCTCAAGTTTGGTTGGGACCCTCAAAGGAGAACACAACAGCTGAAAGTTAAAGTGGGAAATTGCCAAACCAGAACTCTTCCTCAAAAAGGCAGTAGCAATCACTTCTGAATTGTAAAAGGAACATGTCTGTATATAGACATGTCTGTGTCATCACCAGGATTTGATCTCAGCAAAGGTGGTTTTATTTTACCTTAATAGATGACAACTTCCCTACAAAAGCATTCGCTTTTTAAATCTGAATTAAAGTGCTTGTGGTGAAGGGAGTTAAAAATACATTGTCAAGTAATGATGCTGCAACAGTTTGTTAGTAGGCTTACCAGTGATTTTCTAGAACATAGGCTGTGATGGTTAAGCTAACAGATCAGGCACATAGAAGAGAATATTCTATGGGCTGAACTGTGAAGTCCTTGGTGCTTACTGGTAGTTTGGTTGTTTTTCTTGTAGACATTTCTTTACTCTACTAGATAACGCCATCTGTTCTGTTTCCAAGCATTTAGCTTTGCTAGGCACAGTCAGTTAAACTTCACGAACGGGTTCATGCAGATCAGATTTATTATCAGGCATTCTCAAATCAGCAACTTACAGTCAATGAAGAGATTCTTCTAAATTGCTCATAATCTTTCCCAGTTACGTAATGTGAAAAAACAGTAGAATTACTCCCATGATGAGAGAAAGCATGTTGCTCTCGTTCGGTTAGAATTCATAATGGCCAGGCTTTGTTCTGCACGTATGCAGTAAGCTCCCAGTGGCCAATCAGAAACACATATGTGACCACGTGACATAAAACTACATTTCCCAAAAGGCAATTCTGCATTACCCAAAAGGCAATCACTTAAAGCAGTGGTTCTCAACCTGTGGGTTGCGACCCCTTTGGGGGTCGAACGATAAGGTGACCAGATTTTCAG